TGAAATGTACTTCCACCTGTTGTTTTTCGCTATTTTGCTAGACTGCGGAATCGGTGCGAAGATATTAGGAATTTTTCCAGCACCATCGCTTAGTCATCAAAGAATTTTCCAAACCGATTTGGAAAGAACTTTCCCTCAGAGGACACAAAGTCACTGTGATAACTACAGACGTTCTGAACGATCCCAGTTTGAACAACTTGACGGAAATCGACGTTCGATCCGGCTACGAAGTGGCGCACAAATTGCATATAATTCCGATCCTTGCTTCGAAAAAATTACCACTGATCATCATCTGGAATTTTTTCCATATATTTCAGCAGGTTATCGGGAGTGAATTGAAGCACGAGGCCGTTGAGGCACTCATACGTAATGATACCGAACATTTTGATGTCATTTTGATACAATTGAGCCACCTTTACCCTCTGTTGTACGGTTTTGGAGCTAAATTTTCTTCCCCTATTGTTGGTGAGTGATCAGCTACTGTAAACATAACACAAGTCTGCAAAAATATTGAGAGTAGTTATATTTTTTTGCATAATTCTTATGTTTTTGGTTGTGCTGTATTCAAACATTACATTTTGTCATATTTTCTAACAATGTAGTTATTTATGTTGGACAAGTTATCACCTTGAAATGGAAGATGAAAGACTAAGCATTTTTTCATATTTATGATTTCGTAACAAAACTAATTATTTTAATTAGAAAGTATTAAACACATTTTTTTCCCTGGTGAGACTCCTTTTGGTACATTCTCTTTTGTAGGAAGCATCTGGAAGGACTCTCTGAAGCGTCCAACAGTAGGTCTGCCATCATTGAGACGCCACATCTTCCATGATAATTTTTTCCATCTCCTTAATATCTTGGTGGAATCGTTCACCTTGCTCTTCACTGATATCTCCTTTATCTTCTGGAATGTAGTTGTGCTGGGAATGAAGAAAACATAACTTTTAAACTCATTGGACAACCTAAAACTAGAAATGATTTTAACATTTTTTTTGACGATTTGTTTGGAGTTGGGTTTTTTTTATTGGCTAAAAATTTCTCTATGACTTTTTTGAATGCAATTCGAGGTCCGGCTATTAAATAACAAGACTGAGCGCCTATGGGACGCCGTAGAGGCGCGAGTAGTGAGTTGGGTGTCTGGAAATCTTCTCTATTCACGTACCAAAACACGTTTTCGTCACTATTACAGTATTTGTGCAGTAGCGGTTTCTAGTGCCGAAAACCATGTGTGACAAAAAACAAGATCAACTCATCAATCTCAAATTTTTCGTTAAATTGAAAAAAATTTGACTGAGTGCTATAAATTGTTGCAAGAGGCCTATGAGGACAATTATTTATCTCGTGAGCGTGTTTTTGAGTGGTGTTTCTGGAGTTGAAACAGTGACCAAAATCAACCAAAATATGCGTGCAGATCATCAAATGACCATCCGGATGATTGTCGAGGCTATAAACGCTGATAAAGAAACGGTTAGAAAAATTTTGCACGGAGAATTACACATGACAAAAGTCTGTGCGAAGTTGGTACCAAAAAACCTGACTCCTGACTCTTGCGCCAACATGTCTGCTCAGAAGAAGATCCCGGACTGATGAAAAACATCATTACTTGCGACGAAACGTGGATTTTTCAATACGATGTTGAAACAAAGCTGTAATCGCCCAGAATCAAGAAAGCAAAGGATGTCCAAATCAAAATTCAAGGCAATGTTGATCGTTTTTTCGACATTAACGGTATCGTGATGACTGAATGGATTCCACACAGTAAAAATGAAAATTATCTCGATTTAAAGAGATCTTGCTCTCCTATATTCATGAAGAAATATTTTTTCAAACTGAGAAACATATTCTCTCAAGTTGAATTTGAATCATTATTTCAAATGGATTGAATAAACGCTTCTTTTAAGTAAAAAAAATATTCCATCAAGATTGTGCATACATTTCAATAGAAATCATTACATTAGCTCAAGAGAAGTAAATATGCATTCTTTAGTCTGTAGTTTTTTCAAACTGAAATGAATGAAATACTTCTTTAAAAGAAACCCTGTTCCTTCTATACAAAATTCCTGTTATTTTCAGTCGATCATGATATAGATTTGTATGTAGATTCACAAAACTCTTGTTATAAACGAATTGACTTATTTGAAGTAATATAGTATCAAATTCAAACGAACACTATGTGTTCAGATCAAGTTGATATTGCTCTTCATTTGAAACAGTTTATTTTTCCCTTCAAATAGGTGGTGGATTTTGAGATGATATTATATTTTCTTGATTCAAAATAGTTGATGCACGTGCAACCGTTTGAGTTCCCTCCCTATTTTGATGGCCTTGTTCATCTCGGTTACACTGTATCGATTCGATCTTAAAGCCACTTGAAGCCACCTTCCGTCAGGGTAATGATAGTTCCCCGTTTTTAACTTGGATGGTGGTTCGAAACTGCATGCAGATATCTGTCCGTATGTGTCGGTTTTCGGTACACTTCATGTGTCAGTCTTGTGCCACACTTTTCGACGTGTACATCTAGAAAAGCTATTCGTTGTTCCTGTTCAGTCTCCATGGTGAACTTGATGCTAGGGTGTTGAGCATTTATGTGGTTGAGAAATAGGTTCAGTTTGTCCTTCGCATGTCTCCAGATAACGAAGGTGTCATCCACGTATCGTAACCAAATGGCTGTTTTGAAATCGAAAGCATTGACTGCCTTCTTCTCAAATTTCTCCATGAAGGAGTTGGTTATCACTGGGCTGAGTGGACTTTCCATCGCTACACCGTCTAATTACTCATAGAAATCTCCCCTCCATTGGAAATAACTTTCCGTGAGGCAGGCCTCGAAGAGTACGACAAATATCTCTAGGAAACAGGTTGTCTATCTCTCTCAAAGAATCTTCCAGCGGGACGTAGGTAAACAAGGACTCAACGTCGAAACTGACCAGAATATCACTTGGCTCAAAGGTTATATTCTCAATTTTTTCCACAAAGTCTGTTGAATCCTTGACGTACGAGGTTGTTTTTTCAACATGAAGCTGCAGGAGCAATGAAAGGTGTTTTGATAAGTAATACATAGGCGAACAGGTTGCACTCACTGTGGGTCTCAACGGAACCTTTTCTGTGTATCTTCGGAAGACCGTAGAGCCCTGGCGGGACGGCTCCTATTTTTAAGATGGTTTTCTGAGTGGTTTCCAATGGTTCATATTCCGTAACCTTGATTGTGTTGGGTCTTTTTTCAGCTTGCGGTAGTTGGACGGGTCAAGAAGTTCTTAAATTTCTCTTATGTATTCTTCTGTTTTCAAGAGTACTGTGGCATTTCCCGTGTCAGCTGGTAGAATGATGAGCTCTTCTTCTGAGTTCAGGTTTTTTAAGGCCACAATTTCTCTTTTTGGTATATTGCATTTTGGTGTTCGGGCCAACCAAAAGATCCATGGGTACAAGGTTGAATGAACATCGGAGAAACTGTAGATTAGATCATATAGAAAAATCGGCAGTAGCAGAACACCTCCAGTGAAGGAGATCATACGATACTGTTTGAAGATGTGAAACTACTTGCACCCGATCATGACCGTGTGTGGCATGAGGGTTTGCTGGCCCAACTTCGATGCTACGGCTTGTCGGATCATTTCTGTGTATGGCTCTTCAGCTTCCTGAAAGAACGTTCCCTGCAAGTGGCCGTTAATGGATAATAATAATAATAATAAGTCTTTATTCCCATAATGATACAATAAATAAACGGGAAAGGCTGAAGATCAGTTGTTTGCACCAAAAGATGCAACCTCTGTTTTTCANAACGACTTGGAAAAAACCAAGAATCCATTATATTGCTTTTCTGACGAGAGCACACATGTCTCGTCATACCCTTTGGACTCCAGGACATCGGCTACGGAGTCACATCTTCACTGGCAGCAGGAGGTTGCATATCTTAATGAGGATCTAGAAGTGATTTTGAATTGGGGTGAAAGTAACCAGGTTCAATTCAATGCCACTTAAGCCCAGGCATCAGTTTTCTCCAAATAGATAAATGTCTCCAAACCGGATATAATAATGTCATATCAGACAAATTCCGCTTTCTGCTTCGATATGTTTCTTGGGGGTTAAAAGGGACACCAATATGTCTTGGCACAATCGTGTCGCTGGAATTGTGAAAACTGCTTCTCAAAAGCATGGAACACATCATGTGCAACCTTGATAGCCTGGAACATTAAAGAAAGGTTGGAGATTTGCCTCTCTTCTATAGATACTTTCACGGGAGATGTTCCAGAGCGGTACATATCAGAAATACGCGACGGACTGTGGCTTCTCATCGTTTTGAGGTTCAACTCAGTACACCTCGAACTTCACTGTTTTAGAACTCTTTCATCTGGAGAACTGCGTTTACGTGGAATAAACTTCCTGAAAAAGTTTTTCCAAATGGATGTAATCCCTAGCGATTCAAATCCAATGTGAATCGCTACTTGCGCACAGGAACCGCTCTTAGAGCGCCTTGAGGATTTTCCTGTAGTGCTTGTGTTTTGTCTTAAAAAAATGGATAAGAGATAAGATAGAAGATAAGATAGAAATTCAGCAGACTAAACATTTCTAATGATAAAAATAGGTATTCGTCTATCATGAATGTATAATAATAATTAACAAAAATACATTTCTGAATTGATACATAACAATTATGGTAATAAAACGTTGAGAAACAGTGGATCAAGATTATTTATACAAATTACGTAAATCAAACTCTTTTATTATTTTTAGGCAACGAAAGTTCAATTGAAAGTTCATAAGAACTCTCCCAAATTCAGGAAAGTTTATTCATTTTGCAGTCATTTTGCAGTCAATTGCCTGTTTTTTGACAAACGTAGAATAGTACTCATTAAGAAATGAATGATAACCCTATGCAAAGATAATGAAATGTAAGTACTCACTAATTATTTTCGTTTTAACTTCCCTGTTGTGAATAAGGCTGTACCTGATCGCTTGTAATTATAATCGAAATGAATGTGAAAAAACAAAGGCAGTTGATAGTGAATCGTCCTGAAAAGCAGTTGACCAAAGAAATCTAGTTGAAATGAACCCCCGCCTGTTGTTCTTCGCTATATTGTTAGACTGCGGATTAGGTACGAAAATATTAGGAGTTTTTCCGGCACGCTCGCTCAGTCATCAAAGAGTTTTCCAACCGATTTGGAAAGAACTTTCCCTCAGAGGACACAGTGTTACTGTGATAACTACAGACGTTCTGAACGATCCCAGATTAAAGAACTTGACGGAAATCGACGTTCTAGGCGAATATGAAGTGACGCACAACTCACATTTAATTCAGAATCTTGCTTCGAATAAATCACCACTGATCATCATCTGGAACTTTTTCTGTATAGTACAGCAAGTGATAGAGAGTGAATTGAAGCACGAGGCCGTTGAGGCACTTATACGCAGTGATACCGAACATTTTGATGTCATTTTGATACAATTCAGCCATCTTCTCCCTCTGTTGTACGGTTTTGGAGCTAGATTTCCATCCCCAATTGTTGGTGAGTGATCATCACAAGTATGCAAAAAAATATTGAGAACTATTTTGTATTTTTTGCGTAATTCGTATGTTTTTGGGTGTGCCAAATCCGCACACTGTTTGCCAGTAAAATTGATATTGAAGTTATTGGCCACATCAGTACTTGAAACTTCATTTTCACTATCGTAGATTATAAATTATGACGCACTGTTTGGAACCTTTGGTGTAGTAATGAATATTACTGGAGTTTTTTTCCCAACACCAAATCGTTATTTTCAACACCTCGACACGTGTTTCGATCACCAAGTGATCATCTTCAAACAGGAAGATTAAAACTGGTTTAAAACTGGTCAGTTTTAATCTTCCTCTTTGAAGATGATCACTTGGTAATCGAAACACGTTTCGAGGTGTTAAAAATAACGATTTGGTGTTGGGGAAAAAACTCCAGTAATATTCATTGTAGATTATATTTTCTTTATATTTGTTACCCGATTTTTGTATTTATCGAATTGTTTGCCACATGGTTTTTGTTTTGTTGGTAGCAGAGTTTATTATGCGATTATTGATTATAATATTGTTATTCCTGAGTTTCTCTCTATAAGGTTTAGTTAACTGCCTACTAATATTCTTATACACATTATTTGTTCTAGCCCAATCTGTGTACAGAGACATCAAGTTTTTCAAATCAACGAATTTGTTGATCAACGGGGCTGGTTACGTCTCATAGGAAAGGCTACTTCGAAGTAATATTGAATAGTTTGGTGAAATTCGTCATATGCTTTGTTTGGACAGCTTTGAACATAAAGGTCATCCCAATTTTCGCTAGCTAAGAGTATTTTGAAAGTTGAAATATTTTCTTCCGATAATTGCCTTCTATAGCTATTTTTAGACTTTGTGTCCTTTTCATGTACTTTAATAAGAGGAATATTAATTATTTGGGCATAGTGATCCGATATATGGAGGTCTTTGACTGATACATTATATACTTATGATGCACTGTTTGGAACCTTTGGTGTAGTAACGAATATTACTGGAGTTTTTTCCCAACACCAAATCATTATTTTTAACACCTCGACACGTGTTCCGATCACCAAGTGATCATCTTCAAAGAGAAAGTTTTAATCTTATTATATCTATGTCGATATATATATAGAAGTTCTAAGTTGAGAAATTCAGTTGAACCTAGTTATCTCTTAACGAAGATAAATTGTTATTCAAGTAACAATTAATTGTGAGATTTCCACTGGATAATTTACAAAACCACAACCCGTGTTTCGCTATATAATAACTTCCTCAGGCGTTTTAATTGTGATTTTGTATGCGAAACATGCATCGAGAGATAGCACAAGAAGAAGTACTTTCAATTGGGTGCTTTCAATGGACATTTCAATGGAAAAAGTTCAATCATTACCACTGCCTGTTCTGAAAAACTTTTCGGTATAGTCTACCATGTTCTTCGACCACAGTAACAAAAGAAGGAAGTATAGAATTGATTACTATACTGAAAAATAATTGTTCGCCTGGACCAGATGGATAAACGACGTTATTTATGAAGAATATCCATATATACATAACATCATATCATGGATTCAACCATCAAAATGGACAAAATTCCATCCCAATGGAAACAGGCACTTGTTACTTCGGTATAGAAAACAGGAAAACGAAATTTCCTTGGGAACTATAGACCTATAATTTCGCGAAGCATTTTGAACTCTCTCTAAAGACAAGGCTGATGAGTTTCTTTACTGACAATCAAGTTATAACAAAAAAGCTGTATAGTTTCGTCAGTTATTTCAATAACGAACGTGCTATAATGGTCTGACTGAGAAAACCGTGAACGCTTTTGATGAGTCTGAAAAACGTATACCAATTTTCCTTTTTATATCAGTATGGTGCACGAGGACCAACTTTCCGTTTACTTCAGAATTATCTAGATCATAGGATACAAAAAACTGGAATTGACAGTCATCAAGGCACTCTTAGGGAGGTCACAATAGGGGTACTTCAAGGAACAGTTCTTGGTACAATACTGTGTCTCGTTTATATAAATAGTATCGATTCAATTGATGAATTTGAAGGGTACTTGATGTCTTGAACACTTGATATCTGATTGAAATATCTGATTGAAAGGTATACAATGATTCAGAAGAAGTACTATGTGACATATAATCATGACTGAACTATAACTAATTGAGTTTGAATATTGAATAAACTAAATTTTTAATCTTAACGTTACAAAAAAGTGATTAACCTAGATATAACAAACTATTCCCAGAAGATACAACATATTTAGGGGTGATGATAGACCAATACTCAATATGGAATGCTCATCTTAACTACGTAGTGAAACGACTGAGAATCTCGATGAGGAATGTTTATACTCTACGCGAAATATTTGACAAAAAATCTGATAATGATGTACACTTCCTAAGCGTAATCGGTTTGTTTCCACATATTGGAACACTGCCTGGGGGTAGAATGTACGATACTACATTATGTTGATTACAAACTACTCGAAACCCTTTTCTCAAAGTATCATTTAGAAGATCAAAACTCTACTCTACTGATAAACTGTACAAAGTTGTAAAAGTTTTCGATCTACGATGCCTATACTCTCAAGAATGTTTACTATGGATGTTTATGAATAAAAACAGATCTAAAAAACCTTGGAAGAAAGACAAACTAGATCAGTGGAATATCTCTCCACACCAAAGTACCAAAATTCAGGAGAAGCCATACATACAGATATATTTTCTATTTTGGTTCAAAACTCTAAAACATGCTTTCATCTCAAACATAAAGGAGAACAGAAAAATGAATAAATATAGAGTGGATGATAGAGAATTTATATCTGACTATAAAATGCTACGTGACTAATTTGAACAGATCAACACCGTCACTTCCCCATCTATTTTCAACCATTGATATGTCGACGGTCGTCCCAGAAGTACCCGGGTTGTTTGAAGAATATCCACTGTATTAGAAAGTAAACAATTGGTACCAGAGGCAGCAGATGTCTGTCAACCTCAGAACAACTGTGATAATTCCATTCACCAGTAGGAGAAAATTGGCCGATTCAGCGCTTTCCCTCAACTGTGAGGTCATTCCTTTGGATATACCTGATGATTGTCAGACCAATGATCACTTATGGAGCAATTGTCTGGTGGCCAAAGGCTTTAGAGACAATGGCTCAGCCGAAGCTTGTCTGGCCATCAGTGGCGCCATCAATACCACATCGTCAGCGGCCATGGAGATCCTTCTAGATCTACCTCCTATCCACATTTTTCTGAAGAGAGAGGCTATATGGACTACATATAGACTTGTGCACATCCGCAATTGCAATCTAATGCAGAGTACATTAAACTGTTGGCTGACACTAGAAGTTACAGCATTTTGGGAATGACTCCTGACAGTATGTCTCCAACTGTTAACTACGAACTTCCTTATAAAATACTTTTTCAGAGTAGAGAGGATTGGATCCTCCGGGAGAAGGAAATATCAAGAGCAGATAGTTGTAGGATCACAAATGGATCAAAAACACCTCCAGGCTCTGGTGTAGGTGTTTTCAGTTGCAGACCCAGGACAGAGATATCAACCTGCCTAGGGACCTGTGCGACTGTATCTCAAGTGGAAATCTATGCTATTGAATTGAATTTTTGTCAGATAATCAAGCGGAGTTGGGAGCTCTTGGCTCCTACCAAGCAACTTCTAAGTTGGTAGCGAATTGCCAAAAACGACTCTACCCAATAGGAATACCTAACAAATTGTCTCTGGTTCAGATTCCTGGCCACATTGACCTGGAAGACAGTGGGGCTGCTGACTCCCTCGCAAAGAAGGGTGCTGCAAGTAGCTTCATCGGACCAGAACCTATCATTGGCATCGCTTTAGGTTTTGTCAAACGAACACCTGGATGTCAAGAATATTTAAACACTTCTGACAAAATCTTCCAGGATTAGCTCACTCCAAAGCGTTCATTCATCCTTCAAAGTTTGAAATCGGTCGGTAGCCAGGCAGCCAGTCGGTTCGACGTGGGTGCTTTGTTCACTCACTCGAATTGACTGCCGTGTTGGTCGGTGGTTCAAGCTCTAGTCTGAACTTACTATCGTCCAACCCGTGTTAGAAATCACACGTTGAAAGGTAAGACCTTTAATCCTTGGCTCGCACAAGTTTCGACTTCTGAGGGGTGTCGTTCGTAGGGGTGCGACAGCTGGTTGATGGAAAAACAGATATTTTTTTTAATCAGAAACAGGTGTTGGACTACAAAAGGGACAAACTACTCAAGTACTAGCCTCATGACTAGTAGTGGAGTGCCACCAAGATTTAGCCAAAACCTCGGTTGATGAATGACATTATTTTGAAGTGGGTTGTAGGGCACCGATTCTTTAGCCAAGGAAGCAGTTGGACTGAGAATTTTAGGACCCAGTGACATCTACGGCCTGATTTCTTCGACAATTGCGGAAATAGCCAAATATCACACACATGCTCAATTCCTAAAGAGATGGGATGGAATCAAAGGATGCAGTCTTGCCAGGATAACCCTGGGCGACCCTGGGAAGCTATCACCGAAGAAATATCTGGTGACCAGGAAAAACCTTCGCTTAACAGTATGATTTCTGACTGGCCACTGTCAATTAAGGAAACAGCTCCATATTATGGGGTTAGTGGACACACGTCTATGCATAGTGTGTGGTTCGCCTACACTTGCTGATATAAAGGAGATGTCTCTTAGTGACCTGTCCACCTTCCTGGAAAGGGCAGGATGGACGATGACCTAGGAAGACAACTCCTCGGGAAGATGTACAATGGGTCTCATGTGGCTCAAGTGCAGTGGGCCTACACCCACCCTCCCTACTCTACAGACACAGATTCAGAAACTACAGGCCTCCTTACAGGTCACTGTCATTTGAATCATCATATGCAGAGACTCGGACTGTCGGAAGACAGTGTGTGACACCTCTGTCTGGAAACGGATGAAACAGCAGAGCATGTACCTTGTGGCTACCCCGCTGCGGAGTTAAT